GATTGTTTTTCCCGCGATTGTTAAAGCGACGTCTCGTGGGACATCTGAGGCTGTTTCTGCGGCGGAGTCCCATCGTGGGACATCTGAAGCTGTTTGTGCGGCGGAGTTCTGACTGGTGTGACTGTGCGTGTGTTTCAGTGCATCTATTTCTGAATGACTGTCGTTGTCCTCACAATTTCTAACTCTCCATTTATCTGCTGACTATGGGTAGCCCGGAGTTTATTCAGGATTAACAAAATGCACGTCAGTCAATCAATCAGCGGTAGCCAATGAGAGTGCGTCTAAAGCACGCGCGTTAGCGCAAGTCTTGTAGCTCTTTGGCACATGCGCCAATGCTTCCCTCCAGCACCTGACCGCCTGCTTGAACTTGCACATGAGAGACATGTCTGATCAGGCTGCCTCTCGGAAGGCGTCATCCAAACCCCGTGATGAGCGTGTGCTTGCCAAGGGTCAGTTGCCGTCGTGCGACGTCATCGAAGACCCATGATCATGCAACTACGGCTGGTGTCAGCTGTGTTCGCTCACGGTGGAAAGCTGTGGGCCTGCACGTGCGGCCACACGAACCTGGGCAGTGCATCACCCGTGTTATTGTCCGGCAGAGTCGACCGTGAAAGCTTTCCAAACCGCTGCTCATGATCCAAGCACAGTGTCGCGGGCAGCAACGTCCGTTTGCAACATACTGGAACGACCGAAACGTTAGATTTGTGAAATAATTTTGTCTCCTATATATTAAATTTAGTAGTTACACAATTATTCATGTAGTTAATTGGTATGCAGCTTGCTTTGCCTGCAGACACGATTATCTGCATACCAAATATCCGAACGCCCTGTGTATTAGGGGCTATTGCCGTCTGGAAGCGCCTGAACTTTGGCGACAAACCCGGCCAGACAAATATTCAGCAGAGCTGCACCAGCGCCCAGTAGCAAAGAATGGACGATTTTGGAAAACTTGAAGCAATGTCTGGAACAACAGAGCGCGACGCCCTGCAGGAAAAGCACCAGCTGTGTTTTACGCCTTTGTTTGTGCTGTTTAACATGCAATTAAGACGTACTCTCTGGTATTGCAAGCAGGACCAACGCAACTGTTTTTGTTTACGCCTAAAGTTTTGAACCAGATTGAACACCTCATAACGAATATGCATTGTTGTACGTCATACAAATAACGGAAAACCTGTGATTGCAAGCATTCTACCTCATCATTAAGTGATCCATCCACTGCTGTCACTTAAAACAAAGTTGTTCATCTTTTTTCATCTTTTCCATTTGACGAGGGCTTAAACTGCTGCCATCCCTGGGACAGACAAGAGTGGTATGTACAATGGGCGCGTCAGCCCTGTAGCTGCTATACAATGGGCGTGTCAGCCCTGTAGCTGCTGTGGAAGGCGTGCGCCTCGCAGCCCCAGCCGCAGCCGGCGTTGCTCCGTGAGCCCTGTAGCTGCTGTGGAAGGCATGCGCCTCACATCCCCAGCTGCAGCCGGCGTCGCTCCGTGAGCCCTGTACCTGCCGTGGAAGGCGTGTGCCTCGCAGCCCCAGCTGCAGCCGGCGTCGCTCCGTAAGCCCTGGTGCTGCCGTGGCGTTGATTGCGGCGTGGCGCGCCGGTTATGAGCCCTGTAACGCCGGTTGCGGTGTTGCATAATGGCCGGTGACACCTACAGATGGTGTTAGCCCCCGGCGCGCCGAGCGTCCCGGAAATGGGCCCGCCGCCGGCCGACTGTACGGCGCAGCCAGCCGAGAAGGGCTGCGCACAGCGGGGACCGGCGAGGGGGGGGGGTTACACAGTCGGACCGGCGAGGAGGGGTTATCCAACCGAGACCGGCGAGGGGGGTTACACAGCCGGAACCGGCGAGGAGGGGCTATCCAACCGGGACCGGTGAGGAGGGTTTATCCAACCGGTGTGAGGAGGGTTTATCCAACCGGGACCGGCGAGGAGGGGTTATCCACCCGGGACCGGCGAGGAGGGGTTATCCAACCGGGACCAGTGAGGAGGGGTTATCCAACCGGGACTAGCGAGGAGGGGTTATTCAACCGAGACCGGCGAGGAGGGTTTATCCAACCGGGACCGACGAGGAAGGTTTATCCAACCGGGGTGAGGAGGGGTTACACAGCCGGGACCGGCGAGGAGGGGTTATCCAGCCGGGACCGGCGAGGAGGGGTTATCCAGCCGGGACCGGCGAGGAGGGGTTATCCAACCGGGACCAGCGAGGAAGGGATATCCAACCGGGACTGGTGAGGGGGGTTATCCAACCGGGACCGGCGAGGAGGGTTTATCCAACCGGGACCAGCGAGGAGGGGTTATCCAGCCGGGACCGGAAACGGGGTTATACAGTCGAACCCGGTGCCTGTGGATGGTACACTCAAACCCGGCACCGATGGTGATGCAGGCGGATCGACGCTGGCGGGTTACAGAGCAGGGCCCGGTGCAGGTGGGCCCCGGTCATGGCGTTGGTCTTCCTCCCGAGATGCGCCGCCTGCTACGGTCTCCAGCGAGACCGGCATATTGGGACGAGGCACCCGACGAGTCAGCGGCGGTAACCGGCGCCAAATGACGGGCTAGTGAAGCGGAGCACAGCGATGCAGTCAGCATGGCGCCGAGCTTGACTGTAGACCATTGTGAAAAGGATACGACCATGGGTAGACCCATGCATCAGAATCAAAACAGCGGAGCCGACGTCCCGCCATGCTGATGCATATGACAAGATTTGGCATGCCCCTGATCCGCACCCTCCGTATAGACTCTGCTCCCCACATCCGTCACTGTCCACGGAAGCTCCGACGACCACGCCGCCAATGGGCGTCACGTGGCGGGCGGCTTCGCTGCATCCTGCATCCATGGCTGACCGCTGACGAACGGGCCTCACTCGTCGGCGCCTACCTGCCCCCCTTGAGCCCGCTTCCTGCGCGCCCAATACGGAGCCACTCGTCGCGCTCGCCGTCCGCCGGCCGCCGCTCCCCGCTCGCGGTGGTCGGGTATTTTTCTCGAGTGTTTGCCCGGCTCGGCGGCGGAGCTTCCTTCCTGGCGGGCCGTCGATGCGGGGAGGGCCGCTCGCGCCGCCCAGCGCCGCCCCGTCGCCCGTCGACCGGCTCACTGCGCGGCCGTTTGTTGTTGTTTGGCGCCGGTGTGGCCAGCGGCGGTCGCAGTGTTAGCTTAGGAAGTGGAGCGGCGGTGTGGCGGAGAGCGGCCCGGCCAGGTAAACAGCGACAGAGGAGCCTGGGAACATTCTGGCCGGTGCGGCCGACGCTGTGAGGAGTGCGAGAGGAACCCGGGTGAGGAGCCCGAGTGAGGGAACCGGGTGAGGAACCCCGGCGAGAAGCCCATTGGTCGGCTGGAGTGAGTGCTCGGTCAGGAGGCGTGCCCGGCACCTTCCAGGGTAAGCCAAGGAAACTGTCAGTTGAACCGACGGCAAGTCAAAAGTTCGCGGCTAGAATCGCACTCGAGCATTTTGCATTTGCTATTCTAGTTTCATGGTCTCGTTTACGACGTCGCTCGACGAAGCTCTGCGCAAAATAAGGTGGAGTACTCCCGACGCACCATCAATTTCTTCCGGGCCGTTGATAACTTGACAGTGCAAGGACCGTGAAAATGGAGCGAGCAGTAAAAGCCGTGACAGGGATGACAAATCCGGTAATTTCAGCCGAGACAGTGGCGCAGCGCGGCGCAGGTTTATTAGACTTCAACTGAAAACAACCATGTGCTATTTCGTGCCATCATTTTTCGAACGTGCATCAACCGCTGGACGGTTTTAGCTGACAACCTGCAGTACATCGTGGGCTAGTGATGGTCCAAGTGACGCTGTGCCCGAGTGTGCAAGCAAGCAGCACTCAGTAGCCGGGCCCCCCCCCCCCCCCCCGGCTGTCGTGACCTGATGGTGCCGTGTTTGTCCCAGCTGGCATGATCTGGCGCTGCTGCGCCGTACTGCCTGCCCCCACCGCCTGGATCCAATTAACATTTGCGAAAATTAAACCAGCTCGGGCCGGCTGAAATAGCAAGCTGCTGCTGTCTCTGTGTGCTGTCTTGGCATTATATTCGGCGCACTGTCAGCGAAAACTGTATCTATTTTCCGCATGCCATTAATGAAAATAGGCGTTTCCGTAGTCGTGTGATTGTTCTAATCTCCCGCAACTTCGCATCCCATTTGCAGGGTTAAGCGCACTAATGCAGCTCGGTTAAGCGTGCTTTTAAGCTGGAACGTAATCTTGTGGAAAATTCGAAACTGACGCTGCTAAAAAAATTATCTAGCTTCGACATTTCCCCATTCTGTCTCAGTAAAATGCTCAGGTGTTTAAGTGAATTATGGCGTGCCTCTTGGCAATTAGTTTTCACTTTTCAAGATACACAATAAAGACATTGAGCTCCTCATCTTTCGGCGTGACCAGGTGAGAGTTCGTACTCTAACCACAATCGATCTTCAGTATATTAGGCAACACCGGTTATAAGACGTTGACAAGGAGGTATTGGTTGTATTAACAAAACTTGACGTTTCAATATGCGCTTATGGTCACGGGTGACTATGCCGACTGGTGCTAGCGACTATGCCGACTGGTACTAGTGACCTTATGGTCATGGGTGACTATGCCGACTGGTGCTAGCGACTATGCCGACTGGTACTAGTGACCTTATGGTCATGGGTGACTATGCCGACTGGTGCTAGCGACTATGCCGACTGGTACTTGACCTTATGGTCACGGGTGACTATGCCGACTGGTGCTAGCGACTATGCCGACTGGTACTAGTGACCTTATGGTCATGGGTGACTATGCCGACTGGTGCTAGCGACTATGCCGACTGGTACTAGTGACCCTATGGTCACGGGTGACTATGCCGACTGGTGCTAGCGACTATGCCGACTGGTACTAGTGACCTTATGGTCACGGGTGACTATGCCGACTGGTGCTAGTGACCTTATGGTCACGGGTGACTATGCCGACTGGTGCTAGTGACCTTATGGTCATGGGTGACTATGCCGACTGGTGCTAGTGACCTTATGGTCATGGGTGACTATGCCGACTGGTGCTAGTGACCTTATGGTCATGGGTGACTATGCCGACTGATACTAGTGACCATGATAACATCTTGAAACGGCTTTTTGTGAGTGTAGGCAATGCTCGCTTGATAACGTCGTTTAGCCGTGCATCATGCCATGCTACAGGTCAACCGTTATTAAAATAACAATTCTCAATTCATAACTTGTAGTTTTTGGTACTCCATTTCACACTGACCAACAGCAAATGCGCAATATGTCGGCCACGCCTCAAGAACAGAAAAACACGCTTTTTAGCCATGACTCCGACGTGGTAGAAGCGTAGAAATGAATTTCTCCCCAACTGGGCGAATTGAATGAATACAGCGTCATGGTGAGCCATTACTGACGTGGGCCTGCAGTGAAGAGTCGGTCGAACGGCTCGAAACCAACTGCTCGTGCCTCTGGCGAAATCAATTTGTCCAGGGTGGTGACGGCGGTTCAAGACCATTTCTCAAGGTCATCACCACTCTGACACCGGTGATGCTGCTTACCAACACGGTCACCAGCCATCCCACGAGCCAGAGCTGGCGCAGCTCACTGCGGGTCGGCCACGTACCGTCCACCTCTGTCCGCTGACGACACCCGTGGACGGGGCGCGTTGGCCACGTGCCGTCCACCTCTGTCCAATGACGACACCCGTTGACGGGACGCGTTGGCCACGTGCCGTCCACCTCTGTCCGCTGACAACACCCGTGGACGGGGCGCGTTGGCCACGTGCCGTCCACCTCTGTCCAATGACGACACCCGTTGACGGGACGCGTTGGCCACGTGCCGTCCACCTCTGTCCGCTGACAACACCCGTGGACGGGGCGCGTTGGCCACGTGCCGTCCACCTCTGTCCAATGACGACACCCGTTGACGGGACGCGTCGGCCACGTGCCGTCCACCTCTGTCCGCTGACGGCACCCGTGGACGGGGCGCGTTGGCCACGTGCCGTCCACCTCTGTCCGCTGACGACACCCGTGGACGGGGCGCGTCGGCCACGTGCCGTCCACCTCTGTCCAATGACGGCACCCGTTGAAGGGACGTGTTGGCCATGTGCCGTCCACCTCTGTCCACTGACGACACCCGTGGACGGGGAGGTGACTGACCGCGCCGTGCCTGCCGTTCCAGTGGAGCCCAAGACACCGCAGATCGAGTACCGCACGGCGCTGATCGCCTCGGGCAAAAACCTGACCGTGCGCGTGGGCGAGGAGGTGGATGTTCAGTGCCGCGCGCGCTACGGCAACCCGCCGGCCATCATCAAGTGGTTCATCGGTAAGTAGGCGTGACACGCCAGTCATCAGTTGTGATCAGCGTGATGGGGTATGGGAGATCACTGTGCGCTCATTTGTAACGAGTGCGGCTAGAGTTGTGACAGTCGAACTGAGACGGCTATGACTTGCGGACAGGAGATCATTTCTGTGAAAAGTCGACCCCTTACCCGAACGGGGTAAGCACGGTAAGAACCCAGCTCCAGCATGGGGCCATGTTCATCGACTGATCAGACTTTAGTGTTCTAGCAATGACTTAGAGGGGCGGGGGAGGGGGGACTTGGCTGAAAACGCTGGTTAAACATCATTTGCCGCAGGAGCTGATAGTTCTAGCGGCATTTCCGTCTCAAGGCAGTATCTGATGACAATTCTTGCATTCATTATAGCTATGTTTTAAGAAGTATTTCATAGCTGAGTTATTTTAGGTTTTGATCAATTTGTTTCGAATCGATCGCAAGTTTCTGGGATGTTTTGTCACGGTTAGAAAGTGAAAACTATAAGAAGGCAAGGGGTGTGTATATGTGTTCTCAAAGTTCATGCATTTTGAATTAATGCCGCCTATTTTGTTCAACTGATCTTTTCCATGTCAAACATGGTTGGAATGCCTGTTAAGTGCCTGTGAATATTTGGAAGCTTTGGGTGGTTTCCGACCCTACAGTGTTTTTCTCAGTGATGCAAAGCGAAAGTAGAACACGCTTTGCCTCCCACCTGGCGTTGCCGTCAAATGACTCACATCTAAATGGTCGTGCAACATGTTCCATATAAGTTCACATGCAAAATAATGGCAGAGTTCGTGCCGTTGACCATTTCAATACCCCTGTAACAATAGGTGTTTGTCTTCGATGTGGGTAAACACCTACCTGCTGGTACCAGGCGTGCTTGAATATCCTGTGCTCTCCATATATTACAATGATGGCGTGTGAAAATGCAGGTGCTCCGTTAACAGTTTATATGTAACGTAAACTATCAAGATGTTTCGACATGATGAAGAACCAAGCAGTGACTCCAGTCCGCCCCAGTTCCACAACTCTGTTGTCGCCTTTCCAAATTCGCCGCTCGCCAGCCAGCTGATTATGCAGCGGAGCGTGTGGTGGCGCCTAGTCCGCCATCAGCGACAGTGGTTCTAAATCAGCGCATGATACGGCAGGTTAGAGCCGCTCGTCCGGTGCCGAGGCCGCGATGCCAGCTCTGACTGGGCGCCGACGGCCCCGCCCCAGCCGCGGCCTGTATTCAGGCGTGTGGCGCCGGCCGCTCTGACGAACGGCCGGCGCCCGGCCGGCGACAGCCCATGGCTTTCCGATCCCGCCGCCGCCGCCACCTCTGATGTACGGCGCCGGGCGCGCGGCTGCCATGACGTAGAGTCCGACCCGGCCCGCCGCTGATCGCTGCCAGAGATGGCTGTGTGGGTACCGACGGCCGACGAGAGGCTCCTGGGCCCTCCGGCCCCGAATGACCTCAGACTCTCGATCGGCCATCGATGGGGATCATCGCTTTGTGATTTGCACCCCTGAAATGTCTGGCACTCCACTTCTGCCCTAGCGCGCTACACAAGGCTCAAGCCGGTCAGCTCGGCACGGAAGATATAAAGTGTTGTCTCTTTTGACCGGCGCTGGAAAATGTCGTCATTTATATCTCACGAGAACGAGCTTTTACCAGCCTTCGACAGATGACTGATCACCTCCTAAGTCAAAGCTTTCTTTCTTCAACCCTTACGATACCATGAGAAATATTTTGTCTCCTTGATGCTAAACCTCCCAATGTAGGCAACATTTTAACACAATGGCCTTCTAAAGACGCCAGTAAATTACAGCACGTAACTGATGATACACTGCAGTCATCCATTCTCATGATGGCGAAATTAGGACAATTTGCTCTACGCTCTGCCCCAGATGTTCTTCGCTACATGCCCTCCCAAAATGGTCTAAATGAGCATGCAGCGGGCGATTTTGGTATTATGAAGCGTGCCGGTTACTCAGGCCATTCTGCGTAGTGCAGCGACGCATAGTTATAATGAAATACGCTTATAATAATCAAACCATCCAACACGCCACCTGGCTGGTCCTCCATCCAATACGTCACCTGGCTGGTCCTCCATCCAACACGCCACCTGGCTGGTCCTCCATCCAACACGCCACGGGGACATCCAACACGTCACCTGGCTGGTCCTCCATCCAACACGTCACCTGGCTGGTCCTCCATCCAACACGTCACCTGGCTGGTCTCTCCATCCAACACGCCACCTGGCTGGTTCCTCCATCCGACACGCCACCTGGCTGGTCCTCCATCCGACACGTCACCTGGCTGGTCCTCCATCCGACACGTCACCTGGCTGGTCCTCCATCCGACACGTCACCTGG